TGGCAATTAAACAGTTTTTTGTGAAAATTTAATTTTTCACATATTGGCATTTTCAAGGTGTGACTTTAAAGTTCCATGATCTTGAAGACTTTTGCTTGTCACATTTTCTGAATGTCCATGTTACTAATATTTTATTAATAACATTTGATTGTCATTATGCTGTTAAACATTATTTAATGTTGTATCCAAATTTGAAGAAACCCCTATTTTGGGCACTGCTCCTATGATGACCATTTAAGGGAAATCATGTCATTTACTGTTCTCAAACTTATAGGAAAGAAACATGGGACTAAAATACAGCTTCAATAGGCAACGCAGTCTGTTTGATAAATTTTTCTGGCAATTTAACAGTTTTTTGTGAAAATTTAATTTTTCACTTATTTGCATCTTTATTTTCTGTTCTTTGTCTGTACATTTGACAGCTTTGCTGCCTTGTTTTCTTATATTTTCATCTCCATTGTTTACCAAATTTTAACTTTTTTTATATTTTTCACAACTTGCACATTAAAATCTAAGACCAATTGTATGGCACATGCACTGTTAGGAAGCAGACTCTGCTTGTTTTTATTATTTTTATTATTCATAGAATGATTTAAGTTTGGCACAGAATGAAGGCAAGAATTAGTCAAAGATGCTCTTTTTATTGTTTATGGTTTATGTTACTTTATGGTTGTTTAGTTTTTTCCAAACGCCTGCCTTTTTACTCCCCACTTACCCTTCATTCCCTATAATATGTTTTATTTAACCCATTAATCCCAAGCATGGTTTTTTATTTTTTCTGCCATTTCAGATGAAATCTTGGGTTGGTCAGGTAGAGTATTACTTCTAGAGTTAGTCTTGATTTTCTTTTTCTTTTCTTCGGAGAGGATGCTCACTTAGTACAAAATGCAATATCTGCCATTTTGTGGAGGTAGTATTTGGTTTTAGTAATTTGTGAGCATCCTTTGGTTGGTTGTGTTTTCTACATGGATGTCATACAAGCTTTTTGGTGGATGTCATAATTTTTTACATGTTCTACTGTGTACATGTACACAGTCTTTGTCTTGTGTTTTATGTGTGCTTTTATATTGAAATTGGCATTAAATTCATTGTGACAAAAATAGTGCACTTCTTAAACCTCCCTTACCTTTTTCAAAAAGGATTTTCTGTAAAGAGAAGAAAGACATTTTAGGACCACAGAAACACTTTTTATACTCATCTTTTTGAAAATGACCCAAAAATTGCACTATTTTTGCCATTGTGAATGTCATTACTTACATGTGATATCACAAAATTGTTTTTTTTATGGACTTTTTTCATCTAATAGTTATTTTGTCACTTTTACTGTATTAGATGTACTATGTGAACTTTTTCAATGATTTATTGCAGTTTGATAAAAATATTTAATTTGATTATATTAGATGGTGTCCCCCTTACCTCTTTTCACAAAAGACAACTAAAATGGCATTACAGTATGTATTGAGTCAAAGGATTGCCCTGGATATCTTCATAGAATAAACTTTACTTACTAATGCATTTGCTAAGGATTACATGAATTTTTTTTTCGTAGTTAATTTTTTATTAACAATTTTTTGAAAATTAGTTAGCTCATAACACTATTTTTATCTTGATGTCTGATCATTACTTTGATTTATGGTAACCTAGATGTTTTGTATGCTGTACTTCTCAAAGAAATGCTTTTTTCTTCAAATCTGAGTTTAGGAGAGTTAGTGATGTAGTGGTCTGCAGAATTCAAATTGTCAAATATTATTTGGTTCAAAGCTGTCTAGAACATGCAATCATTTATAGTATAAAGATGTAGGCAAATTGATATTGTGCATGTTTACAAAACTTAAGTTGTGTCACTTTTTTCATTTCATTTAAATGTCATTTTAAATTCAATGACTCTTCATTGATTGCCTCGTATATTATCTTAGTTCTATTATTAATACCTTTTCAGCTGAAGGAAATTTCTTGGCTCAAACTAGCTTGCATATTTTATTATTTGCCAAATTATAATTTGTTTTTAAAAGGTTATGTATTAATTCCATCTTATGTCAAACTTATTGATTAGAGGATGAAATTGTTACTTAGCTTTAGTAGAAAATATTCTTGATTGAGTCCAGAAGTCTTGCCTCGGTTTTTGCCTAATTTTACTCGGTATGTGTAGATGCCAAATGGATCATTGCTGAATAGAGAGGAAACTGTTTTCATTGAATATGCTCATTCTGTCTCTAGTGTGCTGTCTTGTAATCATGTGTTTTGTCACTGTTTAAAAATTTATTGCTTGTAGAAAATTTCTGTTCTGAAGCCTTTTTGGTTGTTCTTTCATACAGCTGTAGGTCCTTGATGATACTAGATAAAAAACGTATCCTACAACAAAATAACCCTTAGAACTATGTTGAACTCAGATTTGTTTAGTACTTTTTTCATTGACTAATGATATTGATGATGATGATGATAATGATTATTCTGACCCTTGTGCCATATATTTAAAAAAAACAACAACACCTGCATGGAAAAACAAACAAGTGAAACAGAACACAAAATTATTCAGGTTTTCACCTTTCCACACTGGGCCATATTTCAGTTCTTTTATGCGTACATGTTTCAACCAATGTTTCCTTTTGCTTTGTCTCCATTTATAGATTCAGGTTATATGCCTGACGGTATGTATTGCCTGGAGTTGGTAAACCCACGTGCCACTAACAGAACAGCACTGTGTTATATTTCCTCCATCCCAAGTAATTCAAGACCTGAATAACCAACACAATTTATGGGTTGATTCATACCTGGTCGATTGCTACTGATTTTATTCATTCCAACCCCAAATTAAAGTTTGATTTTTGTTTCGAGCAGTATAGATATCATTATATGCTAATCTTACCGAATATTTGGTAATGATTTTAATATAGTTATGGTATCAGTCCTGCAAAAAAATGAATTAGTCACTAGTCTGACTTTTACATCCTCCAGATTCCATTTTAGATCTGATATTTTTAAATAGGACTAACCTTTTAGTTAGTCTTCTATCAGTTATGGCTAATAGTTCAAGGCATAATTTGCAAAGATGTTAAACATTTATGAAATTTGAAAGTGAACTACACCTGATCAATATGGAATTAAAATTACACATTGCAATAACACATTAAAAGAAACACATCGGGGTACGGGGGATAATAATTGTCCATGGAGTGGAGAAATTGCACTTATAGATTAAAAAACCCAAACCTTACAAATTGACACACAACGTCAGTAGTTCTAATAATTGCACATGAAAGCAGGTAGAGTATTTGTTGGTTTTATCCTTGCCCTCTGACTGGAAACGAATAAAAATAGGACACACAAGGGCACTCTTGATAGGTAATGCCTTACCAGAGAGACCCCATTTTACATATTCCCCATGATCAAATTCTAGAAAAACAAAGCAATGAATCCTACCAATTAAAAACTCCCTGTCATTCTGCCTAATGCAGTAGCAGCACTTTCTTGTTCTTTATAGAATTGTTGTTTGTTTAGTGGTTTCTGCACTTTAGTTAATTTGTTATACAGAAATAATGCAAATTATGATAGCAAAGAGTATATAAGTACTTGTAATTAAATGAAGAAAATTGTAATGTGTACATGGAAGTAATAATTTATAAATTTTATTATTGAGAATTAAGTAATAACTGCTGAGAATATCTCCAAATACTAGTGCAGCTTGCTTTCAATGTTTATGAACTAATTTTGTGATATTTGTCAATGTTAAAATCAAACGTTCGTAATGTAGCTGTCACTATATATGTATCTGTTGTACTGATCTGCTAACTTCCCCTTGTGTTGAAAGGACTTATTTAACAATATATTACAAACCATTCTGTAATATTGATATTAGAATCGACATTTCCTCATTTCAAGTATTTTCTCCTTGAATTTAAGAGAGAACTGGGAACTGATCTCACCTATATTAGCATGCCTGTGCTGTTTCCAGTAAAACTCTGAAACTCGGGGAGTGATTTAGATTCGCAGCACCTGTTATTATTGTTTCTTCATTCAAAGGATCTCTGCAGAATTTGATTTCCAATACAATGAGAAAATGGGCAGAAGAAGATTTCATAACTGACCAGAGCCTGGTGCAAGAGATGTTTAGCCTGCTCTATAGACAATATGATGGCATTGGAGAGGTATGGTTATCATTCACTGTGGATTGACATTTGTAATTTAAAATAAAAGTTAATAGCTCAATGGTTGTGTTTTGATATTGATGACAATTAATCGTTTTAATTTTAGCTTAATAAAGACATTAAGCTGATTGATGCTTGTCATTGAAAATATACCTGTATGCTGATTATGCACAGTGCATATTGTACTCGTAATAAACATGTCTTCAATTTTTTTATCAGAAGTGTGTGACATTCACACAAGCAAGACATACAAAAAATGGTAAAATAGTGTTTGGAATAGCTTCAATTTCCATAGGTTGATTTAAATTTTTATTTCAAAAATGCTTAGGCTCTAAGAGTCCTAGCAAAGACTGAATAAAGTAATATGCATGGTTTTTGAAACATTAACAATTTTCAAGGGGTGGTAATAAATTTGCTACATTTTGAAACGTTTAGGTTCTGAGAGCTATATTGAAAACATACGTAATAAGTGCTGCCAGCACCCATGACATCAACAATTTGGTGAAGGCTCTTGGGAACATACGAGCCCTGCTAAATGTGCAGGTTGCGCCACAGGAAGAAGAGACATTGAAGAGCAGCATCAAGTAGGTCCTCTTTCTGTCTGTCTGTTTCTTTCTCATTTTATATCTGCTTTTGTGTAATGTGTCTCTGTCCATCTTTGTCTAATACTGTGTGTGTGTGTGTGTGTGTGTGTGTGTGTGTTTGTGTGTTAAAGAAGAAATGTTATAATAGTAATTAATAATAATAGTCCACCTCCTTAATTTGGTACGTATATCTCTTCCCCAGGGATCTCCTGGACAACAAGGTGTTTTTCCAGCACCCAGACCTGATGCGTGCCCTATATGTCCACGAGACCGTGATGCAACTGATGGTGAATACGCTGAATAAACAGCAGCAGCAGCAGGCGGCCGGTGGCGGGGAGGTGAAGAGAGATGGAGACGTGGAGCAACCAGTGGTAGGAGAGGAGAAAGTCATTTATTTATTGATTGATCTATTTGTTGCTGCTAGTGCAGTATTGGATCTACATTAAATAATGACTGTTAAAAATAGCTATCTGTCTTAACATTTTTATATCATATATAAATTTCAACTTCAACAATTGCAACAATGGAAAGATAGAACTTTATTTTCACATAAAATTATTCAAAGTTATTGATTGAAGAAAATTTTGTAATTGTAGTATTAATTACATCTATATTTTTAATGGGTAAATAAAATATATGATACTATTATAATTATTCAAACTGCAATATTTATGGTGTATGTGAATGTTCAGTGGGTTAATTATAAGTGGGGCTATTACAAGCTGAGTGCAGTTAACATATTTGTTTTGTTGTTTATCTGTAGGATAACTCCACAGACATGGTGGTGATGTGTTGCCGTTTCCTCTGCTATTTTTGCCGCACAAGTCGCCAGAACCAGAGGGCCATGTTTGACCATCTCAGCTACCTGCTAGAAAACAGCAGCATGTTGCTAGGTACCTATGCATTTTCAAAGTATTATCATCTCTGTTTTTATAAATAACAACATGTGTTTTCAAAATTTCAAGGAAAGAATTGCTTTCAGTTTAGAGTTCATGTAAGTTTCAGATTAATAAACAAAAATAAAGAACAAGGATGTATATGGCTGTCCTGTACACACTCATGTGCACACACACAGCTTAATTAATAATTGTAACAGTTATTCCTTAATCATTTCCTTTAGTATTCATATATATCTATATATCATACTTTTCAGCTCATCCATCTCTCCGAGGCTCCTGTCCCCTGGATGTGGCTTACTCCTCTATGATGGACAACAATGAGCTGGCCCTGGCCCTCAGAGAGTCCCACCTGGAGAAGGTGGCCGTCTACCTGTCCAGAGCCGGCGTCCAGTCCAACTCAGAGCTGCTGGCCAAGGGATACCCAGACATTGGCTGGGACCCTGTGGAAGGAGAGAGGTTTCTGGACTTCCTGCGCTTCTGTGTGTGGGTGAATGGTAAGGGTATTGTTTGAATTTATGTGTATATGTCTATATTTTATATTATTGATTTATAATGTACATATTTATTTGTGTAGGTGTGTGTGTGTGTGTGTGGGGGGGGGGGGGGGTTACTCAATATAAGTACATTAGTAAACATCATCAAATATGTAATATTGAAAAATTAATGTTATTACATTTCAGGTGAAAGTGTGGAAGAGAATTCCAACCTTGTTGTACGTCTGCTGATCAGACGTCCAGAATGCCTGGGGCCTGCACTGAGAGGGGAGGGCGGAGGTCTACTGAAGGCAATGAAAGATGGAATCAGAATGTCGGAACAGATCGCTGCCTCTAGGGACAGCATGTCTTCAGGTTTTCTGGCAGCCATTAATGATGACAATGACACAGAATTCTTGAGACAGAGGTATGGGGATGATTTTTTTTTTTTTTTTTTTTGAAAAAGACTGTGATAAGATGTGACTGATTTGCTTATAAAGTGCTGCACAGGGACTGGTTTCTCAAAAAGACAAAAAATTGGTCTTAGCTTTAAGAATAAAATTTGTCTCCTATTAGGGTAAATTGATCAGTAGTAGTCTATTTGAATTCACAAGTAAAAAATGGTTTATATTTTTAGACCAGTATTTACCTAATTTTAGCAGACTATTAAAAATTTATCTTGCACTGAAGAAGTAGAATGAAATTGTTGGCTTTAAAGTTGAGATAGACTTCAGGTCTTGAGTTCCATTGTGAAACCATTCCCAGTACTGTAGTTGAATGGCCTGATGGATCAGAAATGGACTTTGTCTCATAACAGTTTGCTTCTAATCTAATTTATGTGGTGCGAAAATTGGGAAAATGTCTGCTGTTTTTGTAATAGTACATTGGTCCATAAAGTTCATTGTTAATTGTTGTGATTGTTGAGTGCTTTCATGATCCATTTCATTAAAGGATATGATTTAATAAACCAAAGTATGATGATGAAATATGTCAGTGGAAATTGGTGAAGCCATAATCAAGTGACAGGCCTGTCTTTCTGAACTTAATTAAAACATGATTTATAACTTTTTCAGATATTTTCAAACATTGTTTCCATTTTTTCCCTGTTAAAGAAAAATTAGTTCCTTTCTTTGTAAGCCATGATCATTAAGAACACAGAAAATTAATTACATTTCTGTTTTTCCTCTCAAAAGCATACGTATGAACATTTTAAGAACAAGAAGGTGATAATTTTCCTTTTTTTTACTCTTTTGTTCTATTTCTTATCTCTTAAATCCATTAACTATCATTTTAATAGAGATTTCAACCTATTTATTGGTATCAAGAAAGCACTGTTATGTTCATTGTTTAAATTTCCCAAATGTAATGCATTGTATTGTTTTAGTCATGCCTATAGAACATTTTTGTGAATTTATCTTTAAAAGCCCATATTTGTTAAATTGTGATTTGTTGTGTTAATGTCTGAATGTTGATTGAATTTATATTTACAAGAATTATTCCTAGAAATTACGTAGTGCTTGATAGGCAGTGTTCCCTCCCAACTAAATGCACTGTTTTGATGTAGTTTTCTACAGATTATTGGTACCAGTTTCTCCAAAGTTTTTGGGTATTTCTACCTATTTGATTCATTGTTGCCAAAATGTGATTAAAATTGTACTGATTGTCACTTGCAGGTAAGTATGAAAATCAAATTCAGCTATTTACCTTTGGCATTGAAGTTCTCTAACATACACATGGACTAAATAGAAACTCTTCTTATAGAAGAAGTGTACTGAAAGTCAATAACACCTTGGATTGAAACTGGTGGCATTATCTGTGTACAGTAGTTGAATGATAGGCTATGTTGTGTTGTGCACTGTAACTGAAAACAAAACATGACATATTTCTTTGCAGTGAGGAGAAAAACAGGCATATATTTCTAACCCATGATGGAGTGTAAGTAGTGTAATGAAGCCAGAACAGTAGCGTTGGCATTTTGATGCTATAGTGCTCTGTAATAGAATGTTTGTTGGTGTTGGGTATGAAGATTAATGTTTATAATTTGTTGGCTCTTTTTAATACAAGTCTGTATCCCTAATATGGAGAGTGGGGCTATTAATCAGCTGTATTTATCCATATTGTTTGTGTGAAATAACAGTTTTGCTTTATAAAAATGTTTTTTAAAATGGTGTAATTTTAATCTCACAGGGGAAGGAATCACACTTACATCTGTTTCTATTTTAAATCTACGAAAATGGTGAAAAAACTTCATAATATATTATGATTTCATCATTTTCTTCATGTATTTTTTTAGATTTTTATTAAATGTTTAACTAATGAAAACAGGAATCTTTTGTTAAATACATTGATTGAACTGTCTTGGTTTGTTTACTGAACATACATTTACACTTCACAAGAGACTATCTTAGTAAAAGTTTTAAAAAATCACAGCTTTATTAATTCACATTCAAACTTTATGTAGTGGGTGTGGCTTTACTGCTAAGGGTGTTTTTTTACTTATCCCTAATATCCTTTTTGCTAGGTTTGAATGAATATATGTTTTTTTAAATTGTTAGAAGACTCTTTTAGTCTGCCAACCATTGTAGTTAAAAAACTAAGTTCCTTATTGGCTGTTGCCTAAAAATCCAAAAGAAAAATAGAAAATTATCAAATCTCTAACCTGTCCTTTGACCACTATTTCAAAACCACATTTTGCTTGTTATTTGAAGTTCATAAAGACCCAGAATTACGTAATCTTTATAATGAACAGGTTACATCTTTTTACATCCATACTTCATTATTGTAGACTTATTCAAGCTGTAAATGAAACTTCCTAAACCTAGATGTACTCTCAGAAATACCCAAAGATGGGTGGATAAAGAATGTCTTATTCTTCAGTTTTCCATTTTTTTCAAAATCAATGAATTTCTGCAGATCTATGTTCAGTGACAATCAAGGAAAGATTGGTCATATTTTTTGAGACTGTAGGTGACGCTTTACAAATGGCTAGACATTATAATTGCATTTTCACTTTATTATTTGTTTATTGAGAACTGTGGTGTAAATATAAAGTTATAAAACTTATGGATCAAAACCATGACATGGAGTTAAATTCAGGGAGGCCTAATTAAAACAGAGATAGTGAATAGAATATTAGAGGTGTTGAAATTTTTGGGTCAGGACATTTTTTATCCACCCAATACATCTAATATGTTGCTTCAGTTTTTAAAACCTCAGTTGCCTCTGTCATGCCTAAGCATACCAACAGTGTTTCAGACTTTTTGAAGGAGCTATTTTTTATGAGTAGATATTGGACTCTCTGATATATAGATAAAGAAAAAAGTTTATTTAATATAGCAAGCAAAACTAGAGAAATTATTGATATTTATTTATAGTAAAAATCTTTTTTACAAATTTTTCAGTAAATATGACTTCTCAACTCTGCCACCTGAAGATGACGAGGATTATATAGACATGGGAGGAGCCATCTTGGATTTCTACTCCGCCTTGGTTGACCTCCTGGGGCGCTGTGCTCCAGATGCAGAGATTATTAAATCTGGTCGCAGTGATTCACTGAGAGCACGCGCCATCTTGAGAAGCTTGGTGTCAGTTGAGGACCTGGAAGGTGTTCTGGGCTTGAAGTTTATTCTGCCTATTACAAGTCAGTCTGATGGTTAGTATTCATTATGTCGGATTTATTTGAAAACAAATTTTAAAGAATGTTTCAAAATCATCATATTATGGGGATGTGTTTATTGTGTGTCTATCTGATAAACATAGAAGAATAGAATGGTGATGCAACAATATATGTTTGTGGGCACTTTGAGTTGGGATTATTTTTCATAATACTTGGGAAGTTTAGCAAAACACATTGGGCAGCAGAGGGAGCATATAGAAATTTTTCATCTAATTTCTCTGTAGATGGTGAGGCTAAGCAGAGCGAGGGCAGTCTTCCCCCAGGGTTGCTCCCCCAGCACAAGTCTGCAGTGGTACAGTTCTTAGAGAGAGTCTATGGCATACCAGACCAGTCCACCTTCTTCAGACTCCTGGAGGATGGCTTCTTGCCTGATCTCAGAGCTGCTACAACACTGGACACGGTATGGATGGTTTTAAAATTTTATATCAGATTTTGAAATATGAGAATGTGAGAACAAAAGTGCAGCAAGTTAGTTCTAGTGCTGTGAATAGGCAGATAAGTGTGCCATTTCTACCTGCATATTGAACACCTGTAAAACAAAGATTATTATCCATAATGTATTGTTAGATGCTACTATAATATTTATTGCCATGTAAATGCAAAACACATTTCCCCTGTCAAATGTAATATAAATTTATTCTAGTGCTCTGGATTTGAAATTTTTAGACAGAAAGACAAGAATCAAAGGGTTTTGCTTGATGAAGCAAACTGGTGCCAGTTTCATCAAAATACACAAAGAGACTTTTTGGTCATATTGTTTTTATTTTTTTATTTTTTATCTTTTTTCTTTGCCAGGCTGCTGCTTCTGACAGTGATATGGCTTTGGCGTTGAACAGATATCTATGTAACTCTGTCCTACCACTGCTGACTGCCTATGCCCACTTCTTTGATGATGCTGACCACGTGTCTTCCTTACTGGACTCCACACTGCACACAACATACAGGCTGTCCAAGTGTCGATCTCTCACCAAGAACCAGAAAGACCTTGTCACAGAGTTCTTGGTGTCTTTGACTGGGTAAATTAGTGGTGGAGTTTGTCATGTGTGATTTCTTTAAATCTTACATATAAGGTGAAAGTAGTGAAGATAGAACTTGAATGTTGCTCTTGATTTTTAAATACACTGCTCCATGTTCTCCTGTTTACATGCACTGAGCGACAAGGAAAAATTATATAAAATGATTGCTTCTTAGGCATGCAGCTCAGAGATATAATTGGCTTTATAAGCATATACATAATTTAAAATTCCAGTCACTTGAGACCACCCATGATGACCAAACTTTTGAGAAAGCTGACTATTGACTTGCCAGGATTAAATGAAAACACAGTGGTACCACTGAGGGTATGTAGACTGAACAGTATTTTATGTTTCAGACACATAATTATTAGTAGGAATTCAAGATCTTTGAAATGATAAAAATCAAGCAAAATATTTGCAGTTATTATGTTGGTAATATTTTCAGTATTGAATGGACATATTTTCCTAAAATCATATGGGTACTATTATTAATACTCATTTGTAATTTTCTGATCATAAGGTTTTGACCCACCACTATGAGCGCTGTGGTCGTTACTATGGCACTGGCGGCTGGGGCAGCTGGGGTGCAGCAACAGAGGAGGAAAAGAAACTCACCATGATGCTGTTTACTTTGATCTTTGATTCATTGGCACAGCGGGTAAGATGACGTAATGGTAGTAGTAATGGTTTTATCACTTATATTTTACCTGTTAATAGAAGTGATAAAGCACAAATGATATCTCTCTGTATCATACAGATAATGAGTAAAAGGAAAAAAGGAAAATAATGTATTGTATCTATAAATAAAATATATAAAATTAAGTAAAATATAAGTTGCACTTGAGAATCAAGTATCTTTATGTTGAAAATAAAAAGTATTTATACATAAGCTAGCATATAATTCATCACATAAATAACTAGAAATTTAGAAAATCAAGGGACTGCAAAAAAATTGAATTATGCCAAT